CCTTTATAAATAACAATAAAATCATTAAGGGTTCTCAAGAACTAGGATTCACTTTCATCCGCCTACTCACTGTTGCATACAAAAATATATAAAAAATAATCAGAATTAGACAGTCGGTGTGATTCGACTGAAACCGTCGCGGAGAATCACGTTATAGATATGAGAATGAGGGAAACGGGCCGGCACATTTACACTAAACTTTTCCGTCATGTAGCGGGCCGAAAAATATCGTCTTGCGGGTCACAAATGGCTTGCGGGCCGCGAGTTTGAGACCCCTATTTTAGATGTTTATTTATTAATATTCACGATTATCTCATTTTTTATAAAAAGAATTTAAATATTTATACTTTCCCTCATCATTTTCGATGTATGCAGATGTATGCGAGATCGAATTTCAAAATAACTTAATATTACATTTTCGGTTTCGGCTTCGGCTTCGGTTTCGGCCGAAATTCATTTTTAATATTCGGCCTTTTTTCGGTTTCGGCCGAAAGTCATTTTTAAACCTTCGGCCTTTTTTCGGTTTCGGCCGAAAGTCATTATAAACTTTCGGCCTATTTTCGGCTTCGGCCGAAATCAGAAAATCACTTTCGGTCGGTCTCTAGTGTGGGTACAGGGATCTGTCTATGCTGACGTGTTTCATTCAATTGGGTGGGGGGTATAGCGATCTGTCTATGTCGATGTGTTTCATTCAATTGGGTGGGGGGTATAGCGATCTGTCTATGTCGATGTGTTTCATTCAATTGGGTGGGGGTTGTGATGATCTGGAGCTGGACTTTATAAAATTTCTTTCCCCTCAACTACGCCTTTGAATACCCTGCAATATAATCCCATTCCCTCCCTATGGTTTGCCCCGCAGTAGACTAACCCGAGTGGTTTCCCTTTGTGTGATGACATTTCTACTCAAGGCTGCTCATCCCAAAAAGCGTGAAATTTGTGTTCGCTCATCCTGGACTCTGAACCTTGAGAAATTATTACTGTCACCCCCCTCATTTCTGCCCTGGAGACAAGCGGAGTAGCGCCCCTTAGTTGTTATTGCATTTCTGTACCAGTTTGCTCACGCATAAGCGTGAATTTGGATTTCACTTCACCCAGAAAAACCTTGAGGGTAGGAGGTCAAACCCGCTACATCGAAAGTGATTGTCATTGGATGGAAAAGCATACAACATTTGAATCACCCAATTGAATCATCACCTAATCGCCACCGGACTCGAATAAATAGTCTAAACAAGCAACAGTCTGTCTTTTATGATCATGCTCAATTGACCATGAACGCCTGGAGGATCTGGACTTAGAACTTCTCTAGCGTGATTCATAACTGCAACCTAGGGCTTAGCAAGTACACGTCTTTTAAGATCTGATCACTCAATTGTGAACGCTTGAAGTAACTGGACTTAGTACTTCACTAGCGAGATACTTAACTGCGACTGCTACCTAGAGTAACAGTAAGTACGCAACCATGATTTTGGTATCATGTTATTGCCCATGTATTTATATTATTCGTTCGTGTTTGATCTTATTCTAATAATGCCTATATTCATCTATATTGATATTATGAATTCTATTATTGATTTTGCCGCGTGCTACGATCCGCCACCATTCCATCATGGGGATGGTAGGTGTTGCTCTAAAGTGCACATGTCTCTTTTAAAAAGAAGACAATACGAATATCATGTACCTATAATTTAAATGATTGTTAATGCTACCATGTCCCATACTTTATTAATTGAAATGTTTGCTTGGTCCAACATTGTCACGAAGCAAGATCTGCTTACGCCGACAATGATCAGACTTATAATCCCATCCACCATTTGGATGTATATGCACGAGCTATGTCGCCTTCCATACATCGATCTGAATTCGTTGCTAGTGGAACGGGACTTATCAGCTTATGGCTATTCGCTTGGATACTTATCCAATCTTGTATCTTTTTGCCCTTAGCCTGGTTTCCATTACTGGACCGACTTACCTTGAGCTGACGCTAGGGGATTGATCTACATCCTACACCAAACTACCTGTCAGCTACCAAAAGGACTTCGAGTTCCAGTGACTCTCGCTACCACGATTCATCGCGGGAGAGTCCTTTTCCCCTCGCAGACATTCCACGGAATCTACGACCGGGAACTCCGACTTCGCTACGCCCGGAACAGCTACGAAGGCCGGATCAGGGACACGCTTCTGGAACAGAAGGGACTCCCACACTGTGTGATCCACCGAGACCACCACAGAACCATAAAGGCTAAGTTTACCAAGATCGAGCATATAACTTGAGCAATATAACAGTAGTAATGATGATACCGTCTGTATGTTAGGGACACTTGCTTTGTGTTGATATACCTTTCTAATTGGATGAAATCTGTTTGATGTATATACATTGAGCACCACGAGTGTTTCACGTAGGAAGTTGTAAATATTATTGTGTAATAAATATTTGTAGTTAATTTCACCTTTAACTAAGACTTCGTTTCAGTCTATACTATATGTAGGCCCTATATAGATAGATGTTATGTCGGTGTGGTAATTTGGCTCAAATAACGTACCCCTAGACAGAGAGCCAAGAGATCTCATACGAGAGATACTCCACACATATATATATTAAAAGTCAAATCACCACAGGGGTACGGCGATCTGTCTATGCTGATATATTTTATTCAGTTTTGGGGGATGTAATCTGTTCCATTAAGAGCTTGATAAGAGAATTATATCAAATGTTGACCTTTTAACTTGTATAAAAATAACCCAGGCATTTATGGTAGTCACATGGGAGCAGATGTCTCACAGTGACCAGTTTTTTAATACCTTTGAAAAATAGAATTTGATCATGTAAATATTTCTCTTTGACTCCCCTGTGTTTGGTCAACAAATCTTAATGTAAAAACTTAATTTCAACACCATACATGGAGAAAGATATTTTGACACAACTTGCCACTTCATTGTGACTTAAAAAGTGTTGATCTCTGACCAGGCGGACCTTGTTTGGGGTAGTTTACTCAATTTTTAAGATCAATGAATTCAACAAATTCAACTTTTTAAAATAAAATTTATAAATTTTCAATACATATAATGTTTAACATTTTATGATCATTTCTTCTCAACAAAATCTTTATTCTCTAATTGTAAATACATGTGTGTAAATAAATGCAAAATCTTTTGAACACATTAACACTGGAAATGACAGTAATGTACAAGGATTATTATAGGTAATACTGGTTATAAAAGATCAAATCATGAAAATTTTGAAATTGTGAAATAAATTCTCAATAAATGCACTGAGTACTGTTTAAGCCAAGAAGATTGGAATGACAACAATGTAAATTAAAGTCTATTAGTAGACACCAGCCAACCTTGACCATTGACCACACAATTATTGAATTTATAATTGTACAAAAGGGGAGATAGTTCAAAGTATTAAACCTTTTTTTTTATTTTTTAGATCCATTATTCTATCAGCTAGCATTTCAGTAGTTGATTTGAGTATTTTTAAAGGTGTGTTTGGGTTATCTTACTTTGACATGTTCAGTTATCCCCCTTAAAACAAAATGATGAATGAAAAACACACCATGTGTTTCCTTAGCAACATAATGCTTCTTAAAATGGTAGGTTTAGTTTTATAGTTAAAACATTGGGAAAACCTTACTTTGGAAATCAAACCCATAAGGCCCTGTATGAGCCCAGTAGTTTCTGTGATATGCAAGTGTAATCTATTGATTGAAGGCAAAATGTTGTGCCCAAATGTTGTCTTGATTTTATTTATTTATCATTTATAGTATAGTTCTTTTGTAAAGATGAATTTATGAGCATTTTGTGCATTTAAAAAAGATAAATTATAAATGCATAAAAAGTTAAAAATCCATCCACACAAAAAAAATCAAGAAAGGCCATGTACAAATAGGTCAGCATTCAGTTCAGTCAGTCACAAATAAACATCGATCAAATGAAGGCCATGTACAAATAGGTCAGCATTCAGTTCAGTCAGTCACAAATAAACATCGATCAAATGACCCTAGGGACAATGTAGAAAATAAAACAAGCACTTTGTTTCTTTTGATTCAAAACTATTGGAACATAGTTGGAAATGAATTCAATTCTCTCCTCCTAACAAGTGTCATAAATAAACCATTTGATACAGATTTTATTCTTTAAAAAATATAAGAAATACCTCCAGCTCCAGAAGACATAAGATATAATTAGAAAAAAACAATTCTCTAATTTCGATTAATGGATACTATTTGGAATTTTTTTTACAATATTTTAAAAATACATAAATGATGCTTTAAATTGATAATTGATTCTTGTAAGTAATCAAAATTGACAAGGGAGGATTTATATTTGCAGAATTTAAATAAAATTACCTATGATTTCAAAATGATGTTTCTTGTCAACGCTCACTTGGAGGGATCAATGACAATTTTACAGGCTTCACCAGAGAAAAGAGTTTTAAAAGCTTCTTCAAACTGAGACATGGGAAACCTGTGAGAAATGACTGCCTTCACGTCGATCTTGCCATCAGCAACAAGAGCCTCTGACTGTTCCCATGTATGGAAGATGAGACGACCGTGGACTGTCTTCAGGGTCAAAGCCTTGAAAACTTGTACATAAAATTTTTTTAAATAAATTCATCAATGGCAAACCATGAATGGAGAAATAATTTTTTTTATTGTTGTGATTGGAAATTTTATGATCGGTGGATGAAAAAAACCACACTATTATTGAATTAAATTATCACCATCTTCAATTACCTTACTCTTTAAAAAGGTCATTTTTAAATGGTCTTAACTAAATTCTGTATTAAAGCAGCCTATTTTATCACAAGAGGAAGATACAAGTGCCTTATAAAAATCTTAATTAAAATTGTTGGTATTTTTGAGTTTTTTTAATTATATTTCCAATGACAAGGGCTCAAATTAAGATTGACTTTTAGAAAGATTTGAAATGATACACAATAAATGTTCTTAGCTTGCAAGAAAAATGTTTTCCTTTCTGATCGACTTACTTATGTCTTGCAGAACATTCTCTACATGTAAAGGTTGCTTAGGAAGGCCAACAAGACTGATGTAGCCGCCTTTTCGTAGGTAGGAAAAACTGGCGTTGACCATTGCACTGTTGCCACTGCATTCACAGACACGATCCATGCCGACTCCGGATGTGAATTCAGTTACAAACTGAAAATGTTTGAATGGAAAAAGAATACTCATGTCAATGTCATGCTAACACTTTCACCAAACAATAATTAATATCTAATTTATAACAACTGATATGGTCTAGATATCCTCATCTGAAAGCTTTTTAAGAGGAATTCATACAGGCTCTGAGGGATAGACAAACTAGTTCAGCCTACAAAAACTAAGAAGTTTCAAAAACAATTTTCAGGTAATGTGAGGATGCCTTCAATGTCTCTGCAGAACTGCTTCATTATCTTGCTGACCGACAGATATGAAGGTGGTCCTTCGTCAATGTTTCATTTCTGACTTGTTCTTAGTTTCTTTTCTTAATATTGTTATTTCACTTTGAACTGTCTGTTGTTTTGTTAAAGTTAAAGAGATTGTTGGTGGTAAACAAATCGTTTGATTGGTTGAATTATGGATGAATGACATATTCCATGAAAAAAAATTCTTGTAATACAGATCAGAATATATTTAAAGAGTTCTTGATAATTCTGATTTTACTGGGAAAGACTGAGCAATGAGATGCAGAGCATAAAGTATGAGCTGATGGGAAAGAAAAAGAAAGAGAAAGGCGTGGATGAAAGGAAACACACAGAGATATCCACCAAAAAATAGAGATAGCATGTCAAACAGAGAAACATGAACTGCAGGCTCACATTCAAAAAAAGGGTCAGGGTTTTTGTATAGAGTAGTGGGTTTCATAAAAGAAGTTTGCAGGGTTTCATAAACATACAGAAAGAAATGTATTAGATATTCACTTTCAGTGATCCCTCTCAAGACTCTTAAATAGAAGCGACCAGGGTTTTGGCTATCACGGCTCTTGTGTCTTGTACCAACACAAACTGCGAGGGTGAAATTGGAGAAAAAACTGATTCAGACTTATGGGACCTTGAGACCACATGGCATGAATGTCATCTTCTCACCAGTTAAAACTTTTCAGTGCCCCCCTCCTTGTTACAACCAATCCCAGTGGACTTACTTAGTCGCTCTTCCGTACCCTTTTGCCTGTATGAACTCTCTTACCTACTAATGTTCTGTTACATTCCTCTTGCTGCCCTCTTGTATACTAAATTGCAGAAGAGTTTATTTTTATTTTTATATTGTTTTTACTGTTGTTTTTTCACTGAAGAAGTATTCTTGAATTCTTGGTAACACTTTCATTGTTTTCTTGCATAATTTTTTTCAGGTTTTCCCATACTTTGTTTTACTTATTTCTTAGACATTCAGTGGCATGAAGAGGTCACAAAGAGAGAGGTCACAAAGAGAGAGGTCACCCAAGTTGGGAGCTGCGGACAGTGAGGAAATAAGGAAGGGGGAGCACAGAGAGTCACATTCAAAAGTTAAAGTTAGACATGTTTACTTGTTTCAGGTCGGTTCTCTTCGAGTTAACAATAACATCAGCTCCAATTTTTTTCGCTAATTCAAGTTTGCTGTCCTCAACATCTACAGCCACCACTCTGAAAGTAACACATCCGATATAATTACACCAGCATATCGTTGCAGTTACAGTAACTTTTAAACTCCATCACCTCAGAGAAACTCTGACAAAATAAGAACTCTTGAGTATCTCACAATCAATAACTACCAATTTTCTTTGCAAATGTTTTTTTTAACAGGCAAAATGCATGCATTGCAGGATATTTATTATTTTTTTTTTTTCAAATAAAAATATCCTGCAATGCATGCAGGATGTTTTAGGAAAACCCTTGAATTTGAATTTATGTGGCAAAAAATTTGACATTTATTTTTAAACTCACTGTGGTGAAATATTTTTTTAATTTAAATAAATGGCTTTAAGGGCCTTGATCAAGAATGGACATTAAAAACTGATATATAACAGAATTAGATTATATAAATAGATAAGTTTTGTGACACCTGGTGCTACATTGTGCTCGTCTTGTATTTAGCACATTTAAAAAATTAATTTTCCATAATTCTCAGTTTAAAAAATGGATCTGGACAAGAGGATGATACTGATACTGGGTTTTGAGACTTGATACCAATTATTTCCCCTTTCCATTCCTGTTGGTTATGTACTATAAACAGATAGTATGACATGCAATAAACTGTTCAGAAAGTGAAAGCTACTCTTTATTCTTTTTGCTTTACAATGGAACACAAATAAAAGATATGTCTAACAAATGAGTTTGGCCTGTAAAATAAGGGACAAAATAATCAATCTAAACATATTACAGCACACAATGGCTACTTCTTGGCACCCAAAGCACACAATGGCTACCTCTTAGCACCCAAAACACACAAGGTCTACCTTTTAGCACCCAAAGCTTTAGCCACAGCTTGGGCCATAAGGCCAACAGGTCCACATCCTATAACGAGTATATCTTGGCCCTGAACATGTAACCTGTCAATGGCATTGTGAGCCACACCTAGAGGTTCCAGCATGGCAATTTGTTCTGCATCTGTTCACAAAGGCATTTAAAGCATAAGGCCACAGGGAGTCAAATGAATTAAATTTCAGTAAATTGTTATTTAAAATATAGAAAATGTGTACAAGTTTGCTTCAGATTGATTTCAGGACAGTGGTTCTATTTTAACTTAGGCCATGATTTAATGTGCTCAATTTTCAAATCAAACTTTTAGATTAATTGTTTTGTTTATTCAATAAACCAGAAGAAGCAAACAATTAACCAGCAAGTAATTATATAATCATAATTTTCTATTCTATTACTTACCTAAATCACGAGTCAGCTTGTAAAGATATTTTTCAGGGACGATGGAATACTCTGAACAGCCACCATGTTGAGTTTTCTTGCCATGGCCATATTGCCCCATGTTCTGACAAATGGCGCCATCTTCATTTATACACAGATAGCATACACCACAAAAGAAATGGTTTTCTACCCCAACTTTAGTTCCTATAGGAATTTTAGTATCTCGACCACACTTGACAACAGTTCCAGCTGTTTCATGGCCTGGAATAAATGGCACTGTGGCAATAACCCTAAGGAAATAGGAAATAATGCCTCAGAAAATAAATTCTTTCTGCAGTTTATCAAAGCAATAAAAATCAAATAGGATCTATTATACCAGGCCTGCACAACTCAAAATGTAAGGCGGGGTAATACTTTATGAAAAACTTGAGCGGGCCAAAAGAAAATAGGACAGGACTTGTGCAGGCCAAAAGAAAATAGGTCATGGGGGGAAATTTTTTAAGAAAATAATAAGAATAAAGAATATTTATTTACCTCGCGGACTGCAAAGTGGGTACTATGTGGCATGTTGTGCAGGCCTGTATTATATTGTTATATAACATTATATTTACAGCATAAGAAGGGTTGTCAATCAGAAGGCACACAATCACAATTAAAATTTTGAGTTTATTATTAACATGCATTACAACAAGTGTGTAGAGTAATAAAATAATAATCAGAATGTTCAAATTTTTACTCCTGAAAACCATGAACTCTACTGACTAAATTAAACAGAGATTTCAGGCTATCGGTTTTAGATGTACTTTGTAAATAACAATGATTAGTTGAAATCAGCATTTTGATTGTGATGTGATGTACATTGTATGGCTGTCATTGCAGTTTGAGTGCTGTATCTCATCTGGCAAAAATATCATAGGGTTTGATAAACATTGTCAACCCAACTAAGTCTCAATTAAAGATAAGAACAACAAATTAGATTCACTTGAGTGAATACACCCTCACCGGATGGATAATTTACCTGGCAACATTGTCCCAGTTGTAAAGAGCAATGTCTGAGCCACATATGGCAACAGCATCGACACGAATCAAAACCTCTCCTTCACCGGGCTCCGGCACGTCCATATCAACATAAGAGTAGGATGGACCTTCAACCTGCTTCACCAGAGCCTTCATTTTCTGGGGAATCTGCTGACTTGTCATTGTTGCAGGTGGCTACTTTCAGATATCTGTAAATAGCCATGTTGCAATTTTTATATAAGTTTTGTTTTCTAAATGTAAATTCGTAGAAAAAGAATTTATAATTTTATTTAACTTTAAAAGCTTTTGGAATATGAGAATTGTGCATACAGAACCAGATTAACGTATTAGAAAAAGTAGCATATGCTACAGGCCTGCTCTTTTAGGGGCCCCATGCCCATGCCAATAAATATCTACATAGTTTTTTGGTCTTCTTCAAATATCAGCTTTAAATCAATGATTTTGTGATGCCATCTTTAGCGCCTTTTTTTGGAGTCACAAAATTATGAGAAAAAGATGATCATAAGAGGATGACTTAGTGTGAATCTGCATTATTTTTATCTTCATTTAAATTTTGTTAAGGTTTTTAGTTTATTTTTTGACAATAATGAAACAGTTTGGAATCTTTTGGGGAAAAAAATGAATAAGAAATAAATAAAATTAATAATGACATGAATAAAATTTATATGACAGTGGAGAATATTTTAACATTATTTTGATAATCAATCTGACAACAATAGGCCTATACCCGAAAATATATTTGTTTTGTTTTATTGTTTTTTTTTGCTAAATGTAGAGCCCTATTTTTAACATATGCTACAGACCCCGCACTACTTTCATCTGATGTCAACCTGTAAACAAAAGCAATTATTTTTATACTATGTCACTGTCACATTTTTTAGTGTGTAAATGTACAAGCATCATTAGCTTTTTTTAAAACTTATTACAAACATTTACAAAATAGAAAAGTAACGGAAAAATTAAGCAAAAATTTAAATACTATTCTTGCATGAAGGATCATTTATTTATAATAGGCTATATCACATTAGAAAACTAGGCCTATTTCCCTCTAAATAATAGCCTACTTGTAGGCCCACAATTTGACGAGATACTTTGTTTTTAATATTAAATATTATTTTTTGCAAAAATAAAAATGGTGATCAATTATTCTATTAGATAATGTCATGATAAGATGTGGCTAAGTAATATTATTAAATATTATTGAAGACCAAGATGAAGATGAATTATTCATTGAGCAGCTTAGTTTAGGCCTACAGCCTAATTTACAGTTAAGTCTTAGTCGAAATATATATATAGTCAAAATTGAAAGATGGTAGACGTAGCCTACAAGATATTTTATTTTGTGTCAGTTTAAAAAAAAAATATATGTCTACCTATTGTTATTGCCTTTTGGGAGAACCTTTCACTATAAGTATAAGCTGTGGCCCGTCAAGGCAGGTATGTGGAAGTTTGAATCTATTGTCCTGTTGCTTTTTTTCTAGCTTCCACATACCTTGAAGACCTTGTTCTATTTTATTAACTGCACACACTCACTCAGCACAGGCCTTTACTGTTATTACTAAACAATTTTATAATTTTTATTGCATGCCTAATAAGCCTAATACTAATAAAATTATAGGGCCATAGAAATAGTCTATATTTAAAAAATATATCAAATTAAACCATCATCATTTTAATATAGGTAGACTATATAATACTATATATTAGTATATAATGCATAGGCCTACTCTTACAAAAATTAAGTTAGGTAATTTGACAGACTCTACTTACAAGTCAAGCTAGCGCTTTGTCCTTAATTAAGTAATGTTAAAAATGGTCCAATGCTGTTTAATTTGGCCTATATTATCACCCAGCGTTATCTCAAGACGTGGTTTTCTCGAACTGTACCAAGTGGGGATTATAATACAGAGTTCAGACTGCAAATCACGGTACAGCAAACAGTATACATGGTTGACAAGACCACCTGACCACTGGACTGATGAGAGGGATGAAATTTTTAATGAATAATTAGGAGTGTAGTAACATATTCGTTTGGAATAAACATACTTTTAAAAAAAATTAGACCTGATTATGTTTAGGCCTAAAATTTATTCGATGACAGATACAGATTAAGAGACTGGTTGTTTTTAAAAGTTAATACCGGTAATATTAAAAATTATATATTATAATATATGTTATTATGTAATCGTAATGCAATACTTAACTTAGTAATGGCGTGATGCTTGTGATGGAATATTTAAGTAAGGAACAAAAACAATACACAACTTTTATTGTTTTAAATCATTTTGTGACACTACCCTTATTAATAAGTATGAGTATGATACCTTTGCTTTTGGCATATAGGCTATAGTATTTGCACTTTTTTAGGACCGAGTTTAGTTTATAATTAAATCATGATATATTCATTATCATAATCATATCTAACAAAGGTTGCCTAACAGTAACTTTAAAGTAGCTGTAGGCCTATTGTTTGACCCAGATGCGAGGACATAAGACCGCAATTTCGACCTTTATGCTTATCTTATTATGTCTTAAACTGGCAAACGGGTTTTTCGTCCATAAGCCATGGGCCATAGCTTGCGGCTTTTGCCACCATAAGGATTTATTATCATTAGGAATGTTAAAACGGCATTATTTTGCACGAAAGAGGGGAGGGGGGCAGCGGCAAAATTCTCGTCCCACCCCGGGCGGCACAAACTTTAAGTACAAATGATAAATGTCTTGAAATGATAGGCCTAACAGCTGACAGTACCGATAAGAAAAGTTGCAAACGTATAACTCTAATTTTAGGGATCGTCCATTAATTATGTTAACAAAATATGGGTGGGTGGAGGAAAAGGTTGACGTTTGTTAACAAAAGGGGGGGGGGGTAGATTAGTTGACGTAAACAATCATGTTTTCTCTATTAAAATTTTAATCCTAAAAATTGAATGATTTTTACATTATTTTAACAAATTTAAAGAGTAAATAGTTATATAATTTTTAAGCTTTTAACAATATAAGATTTATTTAATGTGTGTCTGTCTGTGCACTGCTGAGGGCTGGTCAGAATTTTAGCACACTTTGCCAGTGCAAGAGAAGTCAAACGTTGGCCTCTCTTCGCTTGTAGATTCTGTTTGTCACAAATGACTAGGGCGGTATGTTTGCGATCGTGTTGCAGGTATGGATCAAGGACAAGGTTCAAGTGCCATATGCAGTCAAGATAAATGGTATTGATAGAGTAGGAATACGATATTTTGAGAATTAGGGGAAAGTAAATGAGTAACAATAATAACATCACTTCAAAATCTGTAACATCTATTTTACCGACGATGCATTAGAAATTACCACATGCTCCTCAACAAAAAAGGATTCGACCAATGTGAGTAGCTGCCAGGAGACAGAGAGAGAGCTAATGGCAGTTATTGCTCACACTGACAATGCTACTATTTTAAGTGCTGAATGGTTAGATGAGGATGATGTTTACTTGTCTGATATATCAGTTCTGCAATATGAAAATGATACATCAGCTAATATGCCCATTGTTACGATATAGCAATACCTGGCTACTCCCTGGGAAGATGATAGCAGCTAGAAACTATGCTACAACTGTCAGCTATAATGACAATAATCATATTTATACTTCCATAAACGAGGATATTTAGTCTTTAACAACCTTTTCATTGATTCTGCATAATAAAATTTCAGTGTAAAAACTTTTTAACTTGTTGATTAACAAGTTAAAGATGTAATAAAATGTTTTTCCTACAATTGTGTCATTCAAAATGATCAGCACAAAGTAACATGTATTTATATATTTATTTATTTTATAATTCTTTTTTTTTTTTTTTTTTTTTTTTTTATTTTTTTTTTTTTTTTTTTTTTTTTTTTGGGGGGGGGGGGGGGGGGCATACAAAAATGTTGACATAATTAATAGGGTGGCAAAATTGCTTAAAATTGATGACGTAATTAATGGACGCCCTTTAATATTTCTTAATTTTCAAGCAAAAAAGATTAAGCATTATCATTAGGCTTTATTTCTTTGTGGTACGGATATTTTGATATTAGAAATAATGAATTATTGATGTATTAATCTTAGTTGTAAATATTTTAATTATCGGTACGGGCATAGAGACTAACACCGAGGATGGATAGAAGAGGTGAGAAGTTGTCCTACTTCTCAGTCTTAGGCTACGTAGTTAAACCTATGTAGCAACAAATGTTAATTCAAAAATGTGTGTGTGTGTGCGTGTGTGGGGGGAAGGGGGGGTGGGGTTGGGGGAGACTGCAATCAGGTTAGGTAAGATTAGTTCGAAATAAGTGAAACAAGGTATGGGAATACCTGAAAAAGTCGCAACAAAACAACGAATGAGTCGTCAAGAAGTCTTCTTCAACGAACAGTAAAAGCAAAGAGTAACACAAATACAAAAACTTAGCTGAAATGATGTGTCCGTGAGGAAAACAAGAGGCATTCCTCTAACCTGTCTGCTCGGACACAACATGTCAGTCCCAAGTTTTATTTCCTACAACGAATGTAGGCTATGTAATATTGCATACTTTGTTATGATTTCTACAGTCTTAAGTCATATTCATTTTATTTGAATAGATTGTTGTAATTAATAAACGATGCTCCATGACTGCAAGGGTTTCTTTAGGCCAGCCATATAAATGAATGGTCATGACCATCACTGAGGGTTGGGGGGGGGGGGGATTTTCCCATTTTTCAATTAATTTATATTTTACTTATTGCAAGTTTCATCCTACAGGCAGCAAAATTAAAATTCCATAATAGTAACAGCATCCTGTAAAACTCGTTTTTTAGTTTGCTACGGTAGGCTTTGTGTATAAATTCTTAGTTATTTCATTTTAAGGTCAGTTTTTAATTTTATCTTCATATTCTAAATTTAAACTTGATTTGATTTGCCTTTTAAAAGATTTTGAAATTTGACTGGTCATTAAAAAGTAAACAGGAAACCCCGCCAAGTAGCGTTTCTAGGATAAGACGCTATTTTACGAACAGCCAATGAAAACATTTGGTATATTTTGGCTCAAGCGGAAGTACTATTTATGTGTTTCAACTTTCGAAAGCTGAGAGCGGCCTGTTTGAAAAAGGAGGCGTTATATGAAAGACTTGTCGAGTGGACCAATATTATATCCATTTCATAAACTATATCTTGTGAAGTTAATTGATATCTTTCAAAGCTATTTCGAGGGATATGAAAGGTGAGCGAAAATAATACCAATTTGGGTAATTTGTTGTTGGAACAGAAGGAAAAGGTTTGTCTAAGATCTAGTTCTACCTACCTTTAGGCTCTAGGACTCTAGTGACTAGTACTAGTCTAGCCGCCGAGCCTAGCAAAGTAAAGTAATGCTAAGTAAAATTTGGAACTAAAGTTAATATTAAAAAATGTTCATATTGACGAGGGAGTTTCTATAGTATTAAATTAAAACGTTACACACCACTGTCTGTGACTGTCACACTTAAAGTCAAAGAAGGCATTTTCAGTTTTTGACTTTACACACCACTAAGTAAAGTGTGTGTGCACTAAATTACTATACTATCCTGAGAGACTACTCCCTTCACTTTCACAGTGCACAGACTGAGAATCAGAAAGTAAAGTAGCATAAACTATTAGTAAACTTAATATAATAATAATAGTAATATACTTAGAAAGTAACTAGTTCTAGTTTAGTTTAAAGATTACTTTACTTTACTTTCTCTATGGCTCTAGCCCTACTAGGGCCCCTAGCTAGTTAGCTAGTAGTATTATGTCCAAGTCCATGGCTATGACTATGACCCATTATTTAGAATCATGTAGATCAGTGGTTCCCAAACTTTTAAGTTGGCGGACCGGTGAACAAGTTTCGACATTTTACCAGGGATCTGTGCATGATTTATTTTTATACTTTTATTTCTATTTGAGGCTAAATGGAAATCCGAGGACGGCTGCCACAGCATCTTTTGTGTGTTTATCATTATTATTATTATAGTTGCCGTGAATTAGGGTTTAGGCTAAGTTGAGGGATCGATTTAGGGTTCTGGTTAGGCATAGGGATCGATTTAGGCTTGGGGATACATTCGTGAAATTCGATAAAATAGTGGCAGGCGTTCCCATTGTTTACCCTATTTGACAATAAATATTTATGTTATGGGGACCGGCAGCGTTAGGCATGTGGACCGGTGAAAGTCCATGGACTGCCATTTGGGGACTGCTAATGTAGATGACATTTAATGTAACATTTATCAGCCTATACTATTCTGAATTATTAGGTCGGCTACTCTGCGGTTACTGCCATTAGTAGAACTACTACTTCTACATTTGGTTTACTAACAGAAAAAATACTTAACTGTGTTATTCGTTACTGCCTTACTCTCTGTCAATATACAAGTTTTTGTGAGCCCCTTGATTTGATGCCTACCCTAATTTGAGTTCTTGAATTCTAGTATATTTATGTTGCAGTTGTAATTAATCCCATCATAGAAAATAGTAATCAAGTAATCACATAAATAGGGCTTGGTCTAATTTTTAGTATCTAAATCTTATAAATGACTAAAATTAAAACTGATAGATTATAGATGTTACTAGTGACTAGTCTATAGTTAAATAGGCATTAGGCAGGCTAATATTTTATAGGCTTAGGACAGGACTTAGGGCATAGTTTAGATTATAAGCCCACTTCTAGTCATACTCATGTAACATGGCATAGTTATATTAGTCTTAGTATAATTTATTAAGTCAGATACGATAATCATTTGTTTAAATTTTTTGTAGAAAAGTAGCCTATTATTAAACTTATACTTCTTTCATTATCATATTGCCTAGGCCTAAACAATTCAAGTGTCAATGACAATCACAATGTTGCCATTTAGGTGTAAAAGAAACAAATTCTACATTTCACATCATAATATTCATATAAAATCTAAATATATGTGGCTTGTGGTCTAGCTATGCTGATCTCAAACTCAATTGACTATGTCAGATGTCAATGTAAAAAAAAACCATGATTGTTAGAGTCCTTTAACTTTAAGTCAGAATCATGTTCTTGAAAACAAGCAAAAATAAAAAAAATGTAAGTTCGGCCACTTTTGATGTCAAAACAAATTTGGAACTAAATTAGAAAATATTTATTTAATTAGAAAGATTTTGAAGTTTTAATAAGACACATAGCCTCTTGCATGACAAAATTCATAACAACTTACCAAGGATAATATTAGGTCAACTCAGAAATATCAGGTAGTCTAGTATCATTAGCAAAACAATTTTTTTATTATTGAGAAAATTGAATTGTTTTAGTGCTATTCTGTGCAAGTGAGTGAGAAATACAACTTAATCTGTAGGACAACATCAACAAAATATGTCTATTTATTGATTATTGCATTGTTTTTCTATTGCAATACAATACTGTATGCTAATTATAAATAATTTCTGTTAAGTGTATTTAATGTGAAAAAAATGATATAGTAAAAGATTACATCTTAATACTTAATTCATTTGATCACATACACATTTCATTCAATTATTGTTTTCTAAAAAAATGCATATGGCTTTGGCCTTTGTGATAGTGGGTGGTGCAGCCAATATTAAAATGGGGTTTTACATATAGATATATCGGTAGTATAGCAAATAGTATAAGCACATCTTTGCATTGGGTTAAATGCTTTGGGGGCGGGGGGATTTCCCAATTTAAGATCCCCTAGCCTTAAGTGTATTAACAGTATTGAGGTTTTTATGATTTAAATTAAATCAGTTCAATATAGTCATGTCATATCGCACATCTCAAGTTAGTAATATCAGTGATGTTGAAGTGTCTTAGGACTGAAGACGAATTATATGATTAGCAACCAGAATAATTTTTAAATATAATATTGTGTATAGACCTACTTATATACTCCATACTGTATAGAGTTATCTGCTTCATCGGTGCACCAGTCAATAAAGATAATAAATCCAAGTTAAAGTCGAATTATTAAGTTTAACATTTTTATCTTATTATTTTACTGTAACAATTTAACAACATATTTATTGATATTAATATTATTACGGTATCAATAAATGATATTAATTTGTGATTTAGGTATATTAGTATTACTTTTATTTTAACAAAATTTAATACTACATTGGCAACGAGTATTATAGACGGTCAGTATAAATGCCAAATAGAGGATTTATGTATAGGTGCAGTTGTGTTAAATTAAATCTTGGTTACAATATCAAGTGAAGCATATTTCTTTCATGTCCTGACATTTCCCAGTGCCACCGCCCATTTTTAACAGGACTCGACTAGTCTTCCGGTAACGCCGAGACGAGAGATTCCATTGGTTGTTTTACCGCTATATTTGATTTTAACCAACGCTGGCGTCTGTTGCTATGCAATGCTATCTAATTTTAGCAAGCACACATTTATCTCTCGAAAAAAGCATGTTTGAACACGAAATGTACGTGACCTTTACTAAATTCGTGGCGTCCTTACCAATCAATATAACGGACAGTTATTTCCATATGATTTGGTTTGGCTTGGCTTGTTAATTATCATTTTAATTTTATGTCGATCTCTGATCGGCAGTTACCGTCGCCGTCGGTGTTGTCGCGTCTGTTAGTTATGATTCAATTTTTGATTGATTTGAACTGTTATTATTGGATGCCGATATGATATAATAAATACAGTTTCTTATTTTCATATACTGCCGATGTTTTATTGATTAATATAAGAAAATAATTCATTTGTACTAACTGAATTTGTAGCACTAGCTTCGTTATTATTATTAGTTTATTTAAATTTCAATATTGTTTCTAACACACAACACGTTAAGTTCAAGCAGTAGTAGACAGGTGCATTTTTCAATCAACGAAAAGGATGAGAACAATGTTCTTGAGTTTAATATCAGGTCTGATATTCAACAGTTTGATAATAATTAATTATTTGTCGGTAGTCTGTAGTAATATTAATATCAGAAGCATTATCTTTTCTCAAAATTAGATTTGGATATTTAGCTGAAATTAATTTGGAACTAATAAATTATTTTGTTTGTTTGTAATTAAGCAATTATTATGTACTCATTAAGGATTTTTGTTTCATTTGCTTGTTAAAATAATGAATTCTGGTTTAAAAAATTCAAAGGAAATGAGAAAACCAGTTTTGCTGAAACTTATGATTGCTCTACAATAATTTCAGTTATGGAAGGAACATATACAAATGTCTTGCTAGGACCAACAAAACTTTGGTTTAAAAACAAGGCCATAAAAAAGAGACAAGGACTAGTCACAAAATTAAGCACTGTAATAACTTAACGTTTCCTTTATTTCAGCTTTAAAGAATTTGGGGAGCCTGCAAGTAAGAATAAGAACAGAAGAAAATGTTGTTACTCAGTCACAAAATGGAGGTTTCCGTGAAGGGAGTGAACTTTTATTTTACAGACCAAGAACTAGGAGTACTATCACAATTTGGAACTTACCTGATTCAGTCCTTGTGCACATACTCAAGGGAATGCATATATGTGATATATTGTCTTTCAGATCAGTGAGTTTTGGTTAAAAGTTCAAATAAAAAAAACTTTTAAGCTGAACTGGTGTAGAAGAAAAGTATTACAGTCCTTGAAGTTTTTGCTTTGGTTATTTAACTTTATAACTCTCCTAATACCAAAATGCTAATTTTTACAAAAGATTATCCTTTGTTATAGGTGAATAAATATGATTACCACTTAATATTATTATATTAGATTTTGCATGCTTAAATATTTATTTATATTCAGGTCCATCCAAACCTCCGTGATATTATTGATAATAACAGCAGTTTATGGATTCATATGTCATTTGCTGACTCTTGGCCCAGTGAAGGCAATCTCTGCCATTTCGTCAAGTAAGAGTTATAGTTAAAAGAAATTTTGGACTTTTGATTACAAGTTACAAAATTAGATAGAATTAATTTATTTTCTGTAAAATTATTTCAGTCCATTTTCCACCTTTTATATTCATGAATTCTTTATATTGAATGAATAAATACTTTCTTTTATTTTTTATTAGAGCGGCTGAAAAAAGAAACATAGAAGCAGCAATCAAACTGGCTGTTGCATATCTTTACAAGGAGGGCTGTAAGTTTTAAAATTAAAGAAAAATTATCATTCGTAACTTTGCTTTACTGTTCACTATTTTTCAAATTTGAATAAACCCTGTATATTATCATTGAAGTCAGGGTTGTATATTTAAAATTAATTGTTAAAATATTAGTTGAAGCATTGCATTTGTGAACTATATTAAACCTTTGGAATAATAAGATAACTAATTTTTTTATAAAAAATTTAAATTTTTTTTTTTTTTTCTTTTTTATATTTAAAAAAAAAAAAAACAGTAGTCAAAGATGATATTTCTAAATCAAGCATAGAGGCTGCCAAATTTCTTTGCTTGGCTGAACATTTGACACCAAATACATTCCCATTTTTCTGGATATTTATTCGTCCACCTTGGTCTCCTGATGGGTCATGCTCCAAAGTTCAAACATTTCAACATATCAAAGATTTACTAATGCAGGTAATTTGTTTTTTTAGATTGGAAAAGGCAGAAAAAAAATTTTGAATACATTTGTAAAAAAAACCAAAAACAATTGGAAGTATTTGTTTTAGAGTGCTACAAGTATTGCAGGCAACATTTTATTGAGAATAATATTAAACAGAACTCACTGACAGAACCTCCATTTGGTATATGAGTAGATCTCTCCAGAAAAATGTTAAGATTGACATACGTTCATTTTATATCATTAGTGATCTTCTTAAGCCATTGATCCTTTTTTTGAAGGTATCAAAGGTACTATCCAATTTTGAAAGTATATCACCATAGATTAGACAATATGGTCATATGGGATGGACCAATATCCAAGAACATTATAAATAGGCGGCCTTTCATTGTCTGATACAATGATGTATGCAAGAAAGACCTGTTGTCAACAAACAATGATACAAGAATTTCAGCTAGGATAGTTCTGAATTGAGACATGCCCGCTTGTTTTCTTGTGATAATCTGCAGAAAGAGTTTAGGAGATGAAGAGAATCTAAAAAACAATCTGTTCTGTCACCAAACCATCAATTAATGTTAAAGCTGTAAGAAAGTTGTGTATTGGGAACGACCAATGGAGTTACGAGAAAAATTGACACTGGGGATTTAGATGGATTCCATTGTCTTTCAAAACTACTTAAGAATAAAAATATGTGTAACTGATATTATTCCCCCCCTTCCCTTAGACGGAGAGCCCTGATCTTGCATTTGGTGTTGCATTGACACTCAAACTACAGAGACTTTCATCGCTAGAAGACTCTAAATCGGAAGAGGAAAAATATTTCAAGTTGGCAGTGGCACAAAAATCTTATGCTGCTGCATTTTTCTGCATGTTAGATAATATTACAGATGAGGTAAAAAAAAAAAAAAAAAATTTTAATTAAAAACTATATTTAACCAGACTTGTATATTTGTTATTCCCAATAGTTTGTATTTTTTTAATTTTTTTTTTTTTAGCTGCTGAATTTTTCTGCATGTTAGATAAAATTAAAGATGAGGTAAAAAAAAAAAAAAAAAAATTTTAATTAAAAACTATAGTTAACCAGACTTGTATATTTGTTATTCCCCATAGTTTGTCTTGTCTTAAATTTATTTTATCTAATGGAAACAGCTTCAATGAGATGTTTTACCCCATTTTTAAAGTTTAAAAAAATTATTTTAAGGAACATAAAGTTTAGTGAGAAATCCAGTGAGACTTTTAAATATCTTTTTTTTTTTTGTATGTGTTTAGCCAGATAAAGCCAAAGATTTGGAAAGAATAAGACTTCTTAGACGAATAGCTTCTGGAAATGTCCTTGAAGCCAAACTAAATCTCATAAGATATTACACTCAAGGTGAATATGGTGGCATCTCTAGAAAAATGGCACTCGAGTTTGTGCATGAATTCTTTGGTACATCAAAACCCTCTGGAATTCACCTTACGTTTAATGGTGGGCGCACTTCAGACATTAGGTAGGATTGATTGTCTAGTTTTTTTAATGCCTTAAACCAGCGTTTCCCAGACTTTAACGGACCTGTGGACAAGATTCCAAATTTCACTAGTTACCAGGGCCAGGTTCATTAATTATATTTTCTTATTTGAACTTAAATATTCATGTTGGGCAGACAAGCAACGTAAGGACAGTGGACTTGTATTTGGGGAACGCTGCCTTAAGCTACCGGTTAATCATTGCATGAACTATGTCATATGTTAAAATTTTATTGAATTCAATTTTTTTTTTAAATCGATGTGTATTCTTTTATCCTTTAAAAAGCTTTTTTATAAATATATTGTTGTGGAAGTTGACTTTGCTTTTAAATTGGGTTGCGACTCTTAAAAGGTTGGGTACCTGTGTCAATGCCATTAATTTTTTTTTAAAGTTAAACAAGTCATGCATGGGGTACATTTTGGTATTATAACGGAATTGTATGCTAAATTGATGATAGTACCATTAAAATTGTATACGTTTTATAATATGGCTTATTTTTATATAAAGCTCACCACCTTCATTTTACATTTCCTCCCAATGTTTTCAGCCGCTACATTCTAGTGGACTGGCTGGTGGAGGTTGTGGGTATGAAAGATTTCTCAGCTCATACATTATATTTGGCAGTTAGCATGTTTGACCGATTTCTACAAGTTAGGAGGGTCCAGCGTAGCCAGGTTCAATTGCTAGGTGTTGCTGCCATGGTTGTCAGTTCACGGTAAGACATATCATTGAGAACTCATCCTTGTATTATTAGACTTAATTATGGATAAGAAATACAGTTTATCAAGTAATTTCAAGGCCAAAACAACAAATGAAAACATTTTTTAATATTTTTAAGGTGTAGCTGTTATGTCATTTGGATTCCATTTCAGCTTTCTTGGCTTTGATATACTGACCATTAAAGAAGCTGCCTGGCTGACGGACAACAGCTATACATATCATGATGTGGTGAGGATGATGGGAGAATTGGTGGCAGCTTTGAATGGGAACTTAAGAGTGAGTATTCAATCTTGCAGTATTCAATGCTCTAGAACTAGAATAAATTATGCAGTTTGTATGCTTGTGTGTTTGTATGTTTTTATAGTTATTTTTAAATCAAAACTTTGTCTGGCAGGTCTTGACTATCCAAGATTACATCAAGGTTCTTGTCTCCATTGTGGGAGAGGTGGGCTACTCAGCTATGTTGATTGAATACATTGCTATGTTGTGCCTTCTACAATCAGAAATGGGACAGTATAGCCCTGCGGAGATAGCAGCATCTTGTTTATTATTGTCTCGACTACTGCTTAACCATGGTATGTTGTTTTGAACAGCTAGGTTTTGGCATTCAGATTAGATTGTGTTCAATTTTAAATTTACAATCTATTGTATTTGTATTGTCTCTTCCAGCCCGGCATTAAACTTTTATGCATTGCTGATGTAATCTTTTACATATATTGTTGTTTCAGCTGACCCATGGCCAGCTTTAGTACAGGAGTGGACAGGTTTTAGTCAAGATTCATTGAGTCTCTGCACTTTTCACATTTATAACAAATGGTAAACTCATTTTTTTTTTTAATCTTAAGAGTATTAACAATTAATGAATATTTGGTGTTTGCTAAGTGAGAATATTTGATTGGAAAATTTAACTATGTTTCAATATTTGTATCTTATTTCGAATGTGATATCAATAAATTACTGGGATGTAAAAATCTATACCACTTTTTTAAAGAAATTTTTTTTAAAATATCACCTAGTTTATTGGAAGGATCAGAAGTTGATTACAGAGAAACAAAGCTACAATCTGTGAAAATTAGATATGCAGACAGCAATCGATTTTCAGTTAGCAACATTGAGGTGAGTAATTAAAGAAAAAGAAAAAAAAACCTGTGAATTGTTTGAGTGGCATTATCATTTGAAGTAAATAATCTCTACTTTTCTTTTAAATTGCTGATTGTCACCATGTTGTTGAAACAAATGGAATTTATTTATGAAGTGATGAATTGTTTGAAAATTAAGAAAGATTTTTAAAAAATTAAGAAACTATGAGAGCCTTCAAACTTTTAATTGAAAGAGTTGAGAATCCCAAGGAAATAGCACAACTTTTTCAAAGCTTTTAATCAGTGTTGTATTTCAATATTGTTGGCACTTTTTACTATTTCATATATTTTTTTTTTTTTTTGTTTGTTTTTTTTTTGTTGAAAGTTTTTTTTGGAGAATTTCGTCACATTCCCATGTAAAGTTCATAAAAATTTTTAATAGTTCTATTTTTTTTTTTTTTTTTTTTTTTTTTTTTTTTTTATTTTTTTGTCTTTTTTTTTTTTTTTATATTTTTTTTTTTTTTTTTTGTTTGTTTTTTTTTTGTTGAAAGTCTTGTTTGGAGAATTTCGTCACATTCCCATGTAAAGATCATAAACATTTTTATCATACATTTGATCACTTTTATGATTCACATTGTAACATTTTGTAATCAGGTTATTGGTCATAAAGAATTATGTCGCCGACTTGGAGTAACCAAACTTGTCAGTCACGGGAAAGACAGTAAAGCCATCAAGTTTAGAAACACTGATGAACTGATCATGTCTCCTCGACGCAAAATGGGTCCTGATTACAACTGCGATCTGGGTCTGTCCTTTGATGAAGAGAAAGTGGACAGGATTAATGCAGCAACTCCCCCAATAAAAAAGGTTTATGCCCTGGATGAAGGGATTAGTGGCTATGATGGGGATTTAGAGGATGATTCAGATGGTTAGTATTTTTTCATTTAGAATTAATCTCATTTTTGTATAATTGAAATGGACTGTGATTTATTTGATGCAAAATTTTAATAAAAATTGTAATTTTCAGTAGCATTCTTTGAATATTTTGAAATAAATTTTTTGTGATTAATTGTTTATGTTTATTAAGTGTAAAAATGACATACTTTTTCATTGTGATAGATTTGTCAACTTGATTTTGATTAAATTATCAACCGGGAGAAACTTAATACTATTTATGATTCAGACTGAAGTTTTTTCATTTTAAAAATATATGATATTAAGTTTTCCTTCAAAATAAAGAAAGATGCTTACTTTTAGTGAATCTGGTTTTTAAAGTTGTAGATACAGACCATTAAATTCCTATTTTATTCTTTAATTAAATTGAAGAATAAATAATGCATTACATTTTTAAAAGACCTATTTTAGCTGGGTTTTTTTTTAACGATTCATTAAAGCATATATTCTCTGAAATATTTTGGAAACCTGAAAGTTGTGCGAAGGGTTTTTGACGATACAGTCTTTCTATTATCAAAAAAACTCTAGGTCTTGATGATCTTTTTTAAAATGAATGCATCTTTTATTATTTGATTTCAAATTCGTTCCAAGCAGATCCAGGCAAAAATCTGAATCAGATATTAATAACGAAAAATTTTATGGAAATTTTTTTTTCCCCCATCCATTGTCAGTTCTAAACATAAGGTTAGTCTTTTCAGTTAGTCTATTTTAGGTCTATAATTTTATTTCTAATGATATGGCTACTTAGAGTTAACTTCTTATGAGGATGTTTTATTCAAGAGCTTCTCCACATAGCAAGCACTGGTAATTTGTGGTCAAAAATAATTTGTTTAGTTTAAATAATCATCAGTTGAATGGTTTAACATTTTTCGGTTTAAGTTTCTCTTCAGATAATTTTCTTGTTGATTTGATTTTAAGAATCTGACCTATTAAAAAAAAATGCTTCATTTGTAGATGAAATTTCAGCTCTGTTATTGTTTAAGTACATCTGAATAGCTATCAAATTAGCTATTGATGTCAGATAGAGTATAATGTAATGGCTAAAAGTCTCAATAAAATTTAAACTTGTTTTTATTAAATTTAGTTTATAACTAAGATAAAAGGAAGAAAAGCTCCACCAAGCAATGTATTTATATTTCTTTGTATATTTAATTGATTGTGATAGAATAAGTTAAATTTTCTTTTTTTTGTGTAAAGAACTGTTTATTACTATAAATAAAAACCTATTACAAAATGAACTTTTTTGGGCTCCTTATTAACTTTTTCTGGTTAAATTTAATTAACTGATTTAAATTGCTGCTGTTTTATTTACACTAACAATTTTAGTACACTGTGCAATGAAACCTGGAATTAACTGACCTTGAAATGCCCCATGGCATAGGCTCACCCAAGCACAGAAGATATTTTTAACAGTGGCTGAATGTGTAAATAGCACAAACTTTCCCTTTGGTCCCAACGGTTTGCGTTATTTCCAGCTTTCACTGTTCTTTCAATAATTCTAATTTTTTTTAACCCAGGATAAATTACTTAACAAATGATGAAAAATGAAGGGAAAATTTTATCAACCAAGTAATAGAATATTGTGAATTTTTATATCCCCCAATGCTTTGTATAAGATTTATAAATATTCCTGTATCACTCAATAGAATACAAATACAGGTTGTTTTTAATATTATTCAAAACATTTTCAGAGCTTAAGCCAACTCTTATGCATCATTAAATTAAGATTTACAGTGTAAAATATTTTTTATTATAATAAAATTAGGTCGATATTCAACAGTTTCAGGAATGTTTATAAATTTATTTTTTTTTATCTTCTCAGAGTCTTTCAGTGACAAATCGGATGTGCTGTATGAATTGAATGAAGACGACTCTGATTTAGACAGATCCAATATAGCAGACAGCTCTGAATACAGCAAGGATGGGGAGGATGAGGCCAACGCTGTGGATGTCATTTCGGACACAGAAATGATTTGTGGTACCAACATGTTCAAGTGCTTGCAAATTGACGAGGAAGCTCATAATGTTTCAGCCAGTAAGATCACATGTTTATCCAGCATGTGCCAGTCTGGCACCAACATGACATGCCACTCTGCTTATGCTTCACCTTCATCATGCATATCCAACTGTTCATGTAAGAAAACGTACACTTCGGATGCTTCGCATTCTGAGAAAAGTCCTGGATTAACCTCTTCTGGCTTGTCTTCCTCATCACCATCATTGTTCTTTCCGTCAAGAACTTCTTCCCCTTTGTCAAAGTCATTTCCTCAACAGAGTGATATTAATGTGCAAAATGTGCGTGTTTGCCTCCCTTGCGGAAGTATTCAGTCAGTCTCAAAAGTTTCCAAAAAAAATAAACAAAGCCCTTGTCCCAACAGCTGTGATACGTTGCCCCTGGGGCAGGATAAATTGTCAGTGATTGAAAAAAATGCACCACAGTTTTTTTCACTGCGTAAGACAAAGTCTTCTCATGAGCTGGCTACTTGTTCCCAGCCTAACAAACATGAGGCGGTGAATCAAGAAAGGAATTTAAAAAGCAAAAATGTATGTCTGGAGGTCAATGAATATGACAACAATGAAACATATGATGCTATTGATTGTAAAATACTTTCATTTAATACCCATGGTGATGTTTCAAATAAAACTCAGTTGCTTCCTCCTCCAATGCATTCTCATGATTATAAAGGCAGCAACAGCAGCCCATTATCGTCATCAGCATCATCATTTCAAGATTATCAGATTCACCATGGATTAGAATATTTATACCATGAATCTTCTCCAAGTCCAAGCAGCTCCTATGTCTTGGTGAATCAGACACCAGGAGCTCTGCCAACAAGGAGACAAGGCACTGCCTCATACCGCCAGCAGCAGAAGCCGTTTTATGGCCAGGAGCATGACAATATGCTTGTACCGGCAACGCCAGAATCTGCGCCCGACTCTCATCTAACGAGGGCTGGTGGGGCGATGCATGAAAATTTCCATGGCTCCAACAGTAGTTTGGGATATGTGCTCAAGAAGGCCAGGTTAGATTACTCATACTCTTTTAAACCACCTGGAGATCATGCTGATGAAAAGCTAAGCCAAGACTTACAAACTAATCATTGTGATAAGACAAGTTTTTCTGTATCACCAAATGGTGAAGATCAACAACATAATGCTAGCATCAAACCTCTGTTGCGGAGAAAAAGGAAAAGTTGTATTTAGAGATTCTTTAAAAAATACAATCACGTCTCCTCAATGTAATATACTGTAAAGTGAAAGAATTATTTTATATTATTTAGCATAGACTTGTCAAATTATATATAAGTGTGTAATTAACATGATTGAAGTGTGTAATTAACATGATTGATTACTCAGATTTGGAGTATTCCCATAGGAGCCTATAAAAGTATTGTATGATGCATGAAAAAGTGATCGTCATACATAATATTTAAGTGAATATTTTGACTTCCATGTGATTTCATTTATTTAATAAGTGTGATTGTGACAAATGTATGAATTTATTAAATGCTTTTTGAGATATGAATTCTGTACGATATTGTAAAAAATTTCATAACTGGTCTCAGTTTCCTCTCTTTACCATTGTTGCAGACACTTTAAGTTAAACAAATTATTTTTTTTAGCAGATATTAATTAATTTTAGCTTTGTAAATATGATCCCAGGTGAACTTGGTAGTCTGAATAAAAATGGCTTGGAAGTTCATGACATTTCTTCAACCGGGTCATCATGCATCCCTTTAACTAAATATCTTGCCACTTTTCTGTTAATTGTAGTGTTTATTTTATGTTAACTGTGTACTGGTATCAAATTAACAGGTACATAATTGGACGTGAATTGTTCCCCATCTCAGATATAAATAAAAGCTGATGTCCCCATAAACTTGTAACTGCATACACTTTAGTTTAATCTTGTGACTACATCACATCACCCTCATAAGATGTTCACAATGTTATAAATGGAATATACCAAGCATTCTGAAATTTTTTTTTAACAAGGTCACACCCCTTAATATTCAAATGTGTAATAATAAAAAAAATTACAAGGAATTATAGTTTTGTTGAAGGTAACTTTTCCTTAGTATTAGTTAAAATATTATAGATTCTAAAAAAACATGTAATTATTTCTGTTAACATTGCTTAGTCAGTGGCTTTGAATACTTTTTTGCTCAGCTGTTAATGTTACATTGTGGTGTCTGTAAGATCATAACAAAGGTCAATATTGATCCTGAAATGAAACTCTTTTGGAATATAAATCAGTACAGTATAAGAACTCTAGAAAAGGCTGTGAAATGATGAAAACATGTTCAGAGTTTGTTTCAACTTGTGGACTCCTGAAAGGTCATATTCTTTGTTTCAACTTATGGACTCCTGAAAGGTCATATTCTTTGTTTCAACTTGTGGACTCCTGAAAGGTCATATTCTTTGTTTCAACTTGTGGACTCCTGAAAGGTCATATTCTTTGTTTCAACTTGTGGACTCCTGAAAGGTCATATTCTTTGTTTCAACTTGTGGACTCCTGAAAGGTCATATTCTTTGTTTCAACTTGTGGACTCCTGAAAGGTCATATTCTTTGTTTCAACTTATGGACTCCTGAAAGGTCATATTCTTTGTTTCAACTTGTGGACTCCTGAAAGGTCATATTCTTTGTTTCCGTATGAGCACAGTCATTATCCACAATCACTTTGTGATGCTTTAAACTAAGAATTGATTTTCCCCTACTTCAGGGGCGAGTCAGCAAACTGTTACTTAAAGTTTGCAGGCTGTTCCTTGCATTAAATTTCCTACTGTCTCTTTGAGATGTTCTTTTATGTGAATTTTGATTATTTCATTAATGTATTTTAACAACTTTGAGAAGCATCAAGCCCACACAACCTCAGACAATTTCTATATTAAAATACATGGTCTGGTCTACCTTCCTACATATCAAACTATATTCCAGGATATGTGTGTGTATTCTCTAGTAATATTTTTTTTACCAAATTCTGCCTCATTTGATTGGACCATGCTGGACTTTGTTGTTTTTAGAATTTTATTCTATTCTTCATATGAAAATAATGTACTTTTCAACATTGCTGGTGCATTTCTCATGCTTAGTTGACCGTAAAACCCTGAACAAAGTTTGTTTCTCCAAAAATATCTTAAAGTGAGTTCAATTATAACAGGAAAATTCAAAAGCTTGGACATTAAGTGTTTTTATCTATTTATAAATATTATTACCCGTTCCAAGTTTAGAAAGATGACTTATAAAATTAATCTATTTTGTATCTATTTATATATACAGCTTTTGGTGTTCTTTTTTTGACATGCAAGTCTGCAGTTTGCCCTTTTGGTTATTTATTTTTTTTTTTTGTAATTCAAAATTTGTTTAGGTTTACTTATTAGGACCTTATAGTGTTCTGCGCATACAGATAACATTGCCCATTTTACACTTGTGTCCAATTTTCCTAAGTATCTTTCTTTTGGGTTTTGTGCCGTCTTTAAAGTGGAGAATTTCTGTCATTGCTATAAACAAATGTATTTTTTTTCAAGTGGCTTTTTATAGAAGATGATATTTCAAAGGAGAACTTTGTTTTTCTCTATTTTCAAAATAATATAACAGCTTTACCCTTTTCAATATTGCATGGAAACTCAGCTTTATAAGGCAGTCTGGCCTTTTTTCCCCCTTCAAATTTGACATGTAAATGTTTTTTAAAAATATAAATTAATATATACTTGATTTTATTGAGGGAGAATTGCTGTTTTAAAATCAAGAATGCTTGAGAGATATTTTGGGATTTTTTGCATTAATTGGTGAGTTGAGTCTCTATGCTATTTTATATGCAAGTGTTGGTCATCCTTTTAATTTAAGTGAATAAGATCATGTGTCACGTTGGTAAGTGTTTAACATCTTTATATAACATGGATGTTGGTGTTTATCATCATAGTTGTAAGTGTCGATCCTCTTCTATATCAATGTATGTCTAATTGTAAGTGGCAATTCAATGTTGGAATGATGTTTACTTAATTTAACATGACAACTGTCTTCTGACTCAAATATAAACAAACAATTGGTTAAATCCTGACACATTCGGTGTCACTAGATGACCAGACATTCTCATGGTCATTGGTGATGGGCCCACTCAACAGAACTATAATTAACGGGCAACTGTGGCCTTCATGTTGACATAGCAAAATTGTAAGAAATGCATCAGTTACAATAACTGGCATGAAATTCATTTCATAGATTTTTTAACATTTCTTGTACGGTATCTGGTAAAAAATTTTCTTTACAACTCATAATATTAGTATTAGTGTATCATTTTTCCTTTTGATCTGTGTCCTGTCCTAAAGTCCTCTCCATTAAGATATTTTAACATGATTGCTCAAGTGTTTTTTTGTAGTTTACTGTTTAGTTTTGTTTAATTTTAGAAGCCAACAATCAGAAATGGAGTTGAATCATTTCAAATATGTATTTAGTTTCTAAACAAGTTAAGTATTGCTTGTCTTTGTTGTGCTTAGCCATAAATGTGTTTAGCTGCAAGTTGTGTGTGTTTTTTTCTCTCTTTGAAATCCCTTTTTTCCCAGTTACCGGTATAATGAAAGTGCCAACTCATTACAATGAATTAACTACTATAACATAGGCCTATCTTTAAAATTGGTATTTAAAGTGAATCTAGCAGTTAGTTGAGAGATTTGTTTTGAAGACAATAAAACTGTGCAATACGCTCCATTCATCTTCATATCAAGTCATAGACAGAACAGCTCAATTTTCATTCACTTATCATTAGTTGTATATGTACAGTGTTTACTTCCAAGCATAAAACATGGGTAATATATTCCATATGAGCAGTGTGCATTAGTTTAATACAGCAGGGAATTAATCAAATATTTTAAATGCTTTAATTTTTATGTTGTTTTCCACAGGCCAGTGGCTCACATTTCTCCTGGGTCTAGTTTTTTTAGTATTGTACATCTATTATTACTGTATGTGCCAACACCAATTGTCCTATATGCTCAAATTAAACCCAATTTGATTAATGTGGTAGTCTTGTTAATTATATTGTATAGTGTTATTGATGAGCATTAATCAATGTCATTAATGAGGTGGCGTTCAGGTCTGGAAAGCATTAGTAAACCAGGACAGGGCCATGCAGAGGAAATGCCCCACCTGTGGTGATGCCCAAAAATGGTGCCACATTAGTGTATAGCAAAAAAAAAAAATGCCCCCCCTCCCTAAGGGCGGACCAGTAAAAAGACGATTTTTGGCGCCCCATGTTTTCTGAAGTATATTATGATATCGTAATTCACTATTAACATCTTATCTAAAGAGGATTTGGGCGCCCATGATGTTGGCGCCCCCTGTTACTGCCGTCTTTACCGAATTCTCATGGATCTGCCCAATGTGACGGCCGTCTTTGCCCCATTCTTATGGCTCTGCCCGGTGACTGCCTTCATTGCCCCATGCTCATGGCTCTGCCAGGTATGACTGCCCTCTTTGCCTCATTCTCATGATTCTGCCAGGTGTGACTTCCGTCTTTGCTCCATTCACATGGATCTGCCGAAGGCGGTGTGTGTGGCGTATATTATGGGAACCACTGGGCTAGCCAAACAGTCGGTCATGTAAACCCGTGACACTTTCTTTTTCTGTGACGTCACGATAATCTATATATTTTTTTTAATAAAAAGAAATTGGGAAAGAGAGGGGTGGGGGGGGGGGGGGACTGAAAGCTTCTTGTACGTACGCATGCAACTGTAGGAGGAGGGGGCGAAATTTTTAATTTTTTTGGATACATACTAAATGGATGGCCCTTAATACAATCCTATTGTATGCTACAATACTGATTCGTTTTGCCCCACTCCCCTAATGCAGGAACTACAACAGTTACTGACGTAAAACATATTCATTGAAACTAAAATCTAATCCGAGCACTCTAAAGACACACGTTCCTATCAATTGTTGTAATTGGGGCTCTTTAAAAAAAAGTATCGATTATGATGGAAACTGCGCACATATCAACATTTAATAACTGAATGGGAAGGCAATGACGTAACGCGGCTACTACTTGTCTAGGGTTAGGAGTAATTTAGACAGTTGGGATCGGCTATCGGGAATTCAAAACTGTCGAATTGCTGGTTCTATTTATAGTATATTAGGATTATGAATTCGAATTTACCTGGACATTTTAAATTTTCTTTGGAGTTGACAAAAGTGGTGAGACGGATTCAGAAGGTAATAATAGTAATAATAAACTTATTGAAATCTTATCATAGGCATACCAGATAAATTGTTCATTAAATGTTATTTAAGTTATTTAGAAATAGAACACGTGGGTGAACAGACCCGAGCCGTCGCGTAATCCCCCAACCTACTTTTTTTTTTCTTTTCGGGTTGTGTGCTTTCAAAGTTAAAGTTAATCGTTTTAAAATATCGCAGCACAACTTTTAAATATCCTTGGCCGCCTTCGACCGCATGGGTTGCTGGGGTCAACACAGACATCAAACCGAGCTGCTGTAAGTAGTCCAGCCACACGTGTTTGTGTGCTGCTGTAAGTAGTCCAGCCACACGTGTTTGTGTGCTGCTGTAAGTAGTCCAGCCACACGTGTTTGTGTGCTGCTGTAAGTGGTCCAGCCACACGTGTTTGTGTGCTGCTGTAAGTAGTCCAGCCACACGTGTTTGTGTGCTGCTGTAAGTAGTCCAGCCACACGTGTTTGTGAGCTGCTGTAAGAGGTCCAGCCACACGTGTTTGTGTGCTGCTGTAAGTAGTCCACCAAACTACGGCCCGCGAGCCGGATCCGGCCCGTGAGGCCAGTTCATCCAGCCTGCCGATGGTATTTGAACTTGCTTGATAAAACGTATGGAGCATGAGACTTCGTGACACAATTTCAATATTATGTTTAGAATACTAGGAGATCTTCTCATGCGGGGACCTCCTGACTGCTATGCGCCTTAATGTAGCATTTTAAATTATTGTATCTAGATTTTCTTGTTTGTTACAGACCGGTTTACCCTTGAACTCCTAAAATCGTACGATGTCGTCTCAAAACTGTACAATACGGTATCTTAATAGTAAATAACTAAACATACAGTACCGGGTATATAAAATGAATACAATAACTTCTCATCGCAGTGCCTAGTGGGGGCGAGTTAAGCTGTCGTCAACAAAGTTATCTACTAAAAGTAGATGACCGACGGCAACATTGCAATCTGCTGTCAGTTTGTTTTGCAGACGCGTCTGTGCTATTGATATTAATCTATATTGGGTGGATGCACAGATCACATTATCACAGTCTGCCACTGGTAAAACTAAAGTTATGGGTGAATTTAACGTGATTCAAACTCTAAGTCAGATCAGCATAAAGCAAGATGTTTTTAAATAAGAATTAATTAATTAACAAATAAAGAGACCTACCAAGCAGCTTGGGGTTGTTGTTTTTAGGAAAAGTTGGTTTAAGTTTAAACAAAAGTTATAAAATAAGAATC